ACGCAGACATTTGGAGTGATACATTCAGGGAAAAGTCCCAGCACTATTGGACCTTATGTGCCACTCAGCCAATCAAATTCAAGGACCAGGTTTTTGTTGAAATTTGACCCCTGTCAGATTATTGCTCTTCTTAGTCCCCAGAATGGTTAGGTTTATGGGTAGAGGTGGGTTTGAAAATAAAAAGGAAAAAGAGTTTTGATATATATATATATATATATATATATATACCTGTATATATATATAAAATATCTTCATGGAACATGATCTTTAATTAATATCCTAATGATTTTTGGCATAAAAGAAAAATTTATAATTTTGACCCATACAATGTATTGTTGGCTATTGCTACAAATATACCTGTGCTGCTTATGCTTTTGTGCTGCAGGGACACAAATACTCATATCAAACGATCTGTTTAGCAGATAAAGCAATAGGGATGACGTAATGAAAACAGTTACACTTGTGTTGTGACATTACTATTATGTAAAATGACAGTAGCCTACTTATAATGCTTAATACGATCAGGCTAATGTGCTACTAGGCCTTCTACTTATAATAACAGCAACAGTTTCTTTAGATGCCTTGGTCAGTTTAAATGAGTGGCATTTACTTACGTACCTTCTAACACTGTAAGAGTGGTTTGTCCTGTATGACTGCCGCTAGGGAAGGTTGTGTAATCACAGCTGTAAACTCCCTGATCACTCATCTTCACATCTTTGATGATGATGGAGGCCTCATAGATCGGAGGAGAGCTCTTACTGAAGCTAACTCTGTCTTTCAGGAATGTGTCATGCAGAGAAAGACCATGGCCCATGCTAAAGACCATGATTTCACATTTACTGGACTCATTCTGCCACGTCCACTGCATTTGTTGTATTTTGTCTTCTGTGTTTCCATGGATATATTGGCACAACAGTGTGACATCATAACCCTGGTACCCAGTAACTTTAAGATTAGTGACAACTTTCTGTCCATGCAGTACTGGAAAAAAAAGAGAGAGTATAACATAATAACATATGGAAAGAAGATTCTTTATATACATGTCAAATATACATATTTCCTTAAATACATAATGTCTAATATAATCAACAAAGAATATATAATTTTATGTTTATCCATCATTCTTAGTGAGTTCTTGGCAAATGCAAAAAAAAAAAAAAGCATGTTCATGGATTTTTGAATATATTCAGTAAATCAGTTCAGATCAACAGAATGAGAGATATTTAGAGGAAGTGATACAGGAAAAGAAAAATTATTAAAATCAATCATATCTTTTCACCATCTCAAACAGAAAACTTTGTAAAGATAGTTTGTAAATGTTACAAGAGATGATATAAATACTGTACGAAGGCTATGTTCTGGTGAACTAGATTTAGCACTATAATCATTTCACAAAGAATTTTGATCATATAGCTATTAACTTTATACTGCATTTGCAGTCGAGAACACAAAAATGATGCATTAAACTTACTGCATAATTTCTCTATTGAATATTTAGGAGAAAAAACTGCAGCACATGACATTAGTTCGGTTTTTAAAATGCGAAAAACGCAGTAATAATTCACTAACCTGTAAACACAGTGGTGCAAGACAGCAGTAGAGGAATGAACACATTTTGTAAGTCCATCACAAGCTTTCATTTCAACAGAGCAATGACACACGCTGTGTAACACCAGGTCATCTTATAAAAAACTGTTCAAAGTTCAGTCACGTAAAGGGAAGTTAAAACAGCTGCCTACAGCCCTGACAACTTGTAGATGAAGTTGTTTTAAAACAGAAGCAGAAAAAGCAGAAATGCTGAGAGCAGATATATTTCCTAGAAGCTGCATTTATAGAGTGGTGAAAAATGGTGGTACATTGTATACATTTCTGGTTTTGACTAAAAATCACATTTAATGACTCATCAATATTACAATTAATTGATTCCACAAAAAATTATTTTATTTTTGTATTTTAACATTTTAGAAATAGCATTACATCTAAAGAATCTTTATCTTTACATTAGAAAGTTTAATTGATTGGTTTGACATTTGTTGTTAATTTTGATGTTGATGGTCACTTCTTAGATTTCCACAAGATCAAGGTTTTACATTAATGGAATTACCAAAAAATATTGTAGTCAATGTTCTGTGTGTGTCTGCTACTGTATGTATAGTATATATTTATTGATTATATAACTTGGAGCTCGAGCTGAGCCTGTGTGTGTTGGTCATTTGTTACAATTGTGTCAAATGTCTGATTTTGGTGACTCCAGTAGAAATTATCAATATTAATATTTTGTTTGTAAATTGTTTTTGAGGTTGTTCAAATAAAAGAAGTGTGGAATAACATAGGCTAGTAAAACTAAAACTAATTAAGTATAATTTTATATTTCCATCAAGTCAATTATATTTGATTATTTCTTCAACTTGAATAAATCCAGTTAATTCAGATGTAACGTGACTGACATGATCAAATGTAAGTCTTGACTCTTGTTCATATCGAGTTCATGAGCTCTCTGCATTCTATAACAGTCGTTTAACTAGTTCCGATGATTTACGCAGCAGCTGCAGCTCCTGACAGATGAGAACTCGATTATGGTTTCTCATGGTTTGATCTGGACACTGTGGATGTTGTCATGTTTTGGTGAGTCTTTAGAAATTCAGAAAAACAGAAGATGTTTAGGGTGTTTTGGTGTGGTGTTTAGTTTCTGTATTAGATAACTAGTTAGTTGGGCCTATTTTAATTATGTAATTGCAAAAAAAATTTATGTCTGCCAACTAAAAATTCTACTATAAAAGTAAAAAATGAACAACAGTAAGTTAAATATTTATTGCAGAAAAATGTAAGTATTCCTCCTTTTGTCTTTCTCACTTTCTTTGACATAGTAGGACAATATTTAGGTGAAGATCGTCTCAGGTTACGTATGTAACCCTAGTTCCTCGAGGGAACGAGACGCTGCGTCGGAAACGCGACGCAGCTCGAGTTCCTGAAGAGGAACAAACGCTTTCTGCCGACTCGGTCTTGAGCAGGAGCGCTTCACAATGATGAACCTAAACTCAGACATGATCAAAATATATAGAAAGCTTTAAATTACTACTTTAAAACTAAATAATTCAAATCGAAAATAGACTCCTAATAAAATAAACTCTTTCATTATGTAAACCCTGCATTTCTCTCTAAAGGCACATCCAATTAGGAGATGGCGAGTAATTTTTTCATCACTATAATTGATGGAAGGCCCGATTATAATTTGAGTTTTATTTTATAATGCCGTACAGTTAAAAAAAATAAAACACTAAATATGATGGCATATATGTAAAACTTTGTCCTATATTTGTATAGCTGCCTTTTCTGATTTTTATGTTGCTCTGTTCTGAATAAATAAATATCGGAGGCTGCAGTTTCAGGACCACAGATCTAGGACCGCAGTTCTAGGACCCTATTCTTTTGTAACAGCGCCACCTACCGAATCGGATCACTAAAGATGGACGACACGGACAGCAATCAGAGTGAGTAACTTTACCGATTTTCAATTAAGTTTTATTTTTAACCTTAAAAGGATGCAAATTTTTCCTAGCCAACGTGAGAACTGCTAAGAAATAATAATTAATTCCCGATTGCTAGTTTTATTGATTATTACGATGTTCTTAATTCGTGGCCATGATTTAATTAAGCTAAACCTTGTTGACATAATGACTACAGTAAGTAAATCTAGCCAGCACATTAATTAAACTAAAAAAAGATGATAAAAGCATGTTGATGTGAGATGTGTCAGATTTACCTGTAGCTTACTGTATTAGTGTGAAAACTTGTTTGATACTCATTGTTTAAGCATATTAGTTAAGTATAAATCATCTGGTTCACCAAGGGCCTTAATTAGGAATAACATTAACAATATCTTTTAATTTTGCTGCAAATTATTGTATCTTTATCTTAAATGTATCAATTTCCTCAAAATAACTGCTTTTGCACCATGGTTTGCCCATAGGGTGTACTCAACGGGAAGCCCTCTAAGTGGTCTCATAAGCTAACCTCTTCCTGAGTGCCTGTCTACCTCGACAGTGAGGAACAACTGTCCTGTTTGCCTATCTGAGAGGAGTGCTGCAGAGGACAGCAACACAACTGAGCTTCACAGATGAAGTGCAGAGGTATGCCGGACCATGTAATGTGTTTGTGAGTATCCTGCTCCTGCACTTACATAATCTACTGTATAAAATGCATGCTGGTGCTACTTGTGTATGGAGCAATGTATAATGGCTTGCTGTTCAGTAGTGCTATATAGTATACTTAAATTAACTGTTTTTTCATAGGCCATCATATATGCCCTGGCTGTCCTACGGAATTTCTCATTGCAGGAGGCTGAGCAGGTCTTCCTTTCTGGTCCGGATTATCATTACAGGTCAGAGTAGAATGTGAATTATTTTTGCACAATGCCCAGTGCACCTTTTGTTACTGATATTTCTGTTAACCCAACAGTGATTGTTCTCTGATAACTATTTCAGTGAAGTGGAAGATTTTAATAGAAGGATTGACTGTAACACTTTCTATGAAGCCTGTATTTATAATACAATATAAGGTTATTCTTAAAGCATTATAAGGAATGAATAATGCATTATAAGAAACCTTATAATATGTTGCATCATCTTATAAATAATCGTAAG